AGTAGTCTGCGTAGGCGTCGCTGGTTCCGTGGTTTCCATATCTATCTCATTCTGGATCTGAGCTTCGATTTCTGCTCTCGCCTGGGTGCCTGGCACGTGTACGTCGATAGTATCACTATCGGGTGGCATTTTGATTACTAATCCACCTGGTCTGTGTGTTTTTCGGTGAAAAATAAGACGTGTCTAAAGTGATCACTTTAACAGCCTATAGCTCCACAGCGCGTGGCGTGCACGCTTTAAAGGTGATTGTAATCGATTTCTCGCGAGGGGTTTATATATATTTGACTAAAATTACACCTATTCTAGAAAACTCGAAGTTGTCTGCAGTTGTGTGTATCCTTCACTATTATACATATGTATAGCCATAAGAAACCCTCTCTTGAAAACATCAAGACACATGCTAGCATGGATTGGAGGAATTTGCTTACCCGAAGCCTTCCCTTACTATTTTTGATGCTTCCGCTTGTGCTCTCTATAGTAGTGGTTCCGCTAAGAAATATGAGGAGCCTTGGAAGCTTTCGAAACACTGTGACCTCATATCGCGCCTACGTCTCGGTCATCGTTCAATTAATCTCAACGTTCCTCGGCCTACTAAATATTCTCACGCTTACTACCCTCACCAACTACGCGACCCGCCTGTGGCTTATGAGTCATCAAACCAGACTTGGGCACTTGAGTCTATGGACAGCAGCAGCACTACAAAGGGTGGATGTTAGTTTGTCTCCAGGGCATATCGCTACTTGCGTCGGCATACTAGTCGTTTCACAATTGCCTGGTGCATTATGGGCTGGTTCGTTGACCCCCGTGCTCATTCATCACAATAGAGAGATTGGGAGAATCGAGGTACCATATTTCGACAGCGGTAGCCAGAGGATATGGAACAGTCAGTTTGAGTTGAAGGGTAATAGTGTCTGGAACAATATGACATTCTGTAATAGTACCCTGCTTTATCCAAGCGGGTTCGTCTCAACATGCCCAGTTCCAGATCACAGGCAACAACTCTTGGACCACGCCAGCCAAGCTTCGCGCCGGGCGGAAGCTAATCTCAGCAAGATCGATTCGCCATCATGGATATACCGTGACCGGTCCACTGGATTTGGTTCATCCCCAGGTGTGGTTGAGCCAATCGATATTAACCCATCATTCCAACTTGACAAGTACTGTTACCTCGAGGAGGGCTACGAGGCCACTGTCGAATGCACAAAAAATGCCAGTACAGCTTATGGGTACACCGTCCTAGAAAAGGATCCTGAATACGAAACAGTATGGGTAATCCAAGGTCTTCTGCCAAATACTCCAGCTGGGGACTCTGAGGATTATCCTCTCCTGAGTTGGACTAAGGAAAACGAGAACAGGCCTCCGCCAATACTTGGATGGACCGCAGTGTCACACGGCGGAAGGAACATCATTGCGATCACCGCTAATGAAAGATACTTGACATTCAATCAGACGCAGTGTGATGTCTTTTTCAAACGCACGATCAAAAGCGTGTACGTAAATCAGACCGAGAAGTCCATTACAGTACGACCTTTTAGTCAGGGATGCAACGGGATCTTGCAAAATTCCGTTAACATGCAAGACTTTGAACCCACAGGGAAGCTTACTGCCAATGTGGTACGCTCCATACGACTCTTGTCTAGAATGGGCACAGCACTATACGTATCCGACCTGGGTGAACCGCTCAAAAGGAATCTTGAGAGCTATTTTAACCCAATCAGGAGCGGAGATGAGTTGAGAGCAGTGGAAGACTTCTTTACTGTGATGATAGATGACCTCCTCGTTGCGTACGGCGCCGGTCAGGTTCACTTTGGGTCTTCTTTCTATCGACCGATAACAGGGTTGTTCAAAGCAATCAGATTAGGGGATGACGTCTTCATCTTTGCCCTTGCGTCGATGAATCTCGTATTTTTCATCATCATACTTTTCGAGGCAGTAAGAACGAGGTTCTGGCATGCTTTGCCTGATTTTGATCACACTAAAGTTCACGACCTTATCGTTGCTACTTCTTCAGGAGTGCCAACGAATGCGGCATCAGAGGAAGACGACCGTCCAAGTGGTACGGTAGAGGATGTGAAAGTGAAGCTTCATCAGAATGCAAGAGAGGCTAAACCCCTGCTATTCATAATGTACGGAAACAGTGCAAATGAAGACGAGATCGGCCCTCCACATGGAGAAGAAGCTCACTTGTTGGTAGAAAACATTGGGAGTGTTTCTTGAAGGCATCAGGAGAGATATAGCAGAGTCATAGGACGGGGTTCCGTTCTTTTGGAGGACTTCGTATGTCAATTAGACCATAATTGAACTCAGCTAAAACGTGTCTGTATAACATGCACCATGAGTTACTAACTAATACCAGTCACCGACTACCCCACCAAGCCTGACACAACAATCAGCATAACAACCACAATGCCACGACAACGTGTGATATTTAGCGGTGACTCTGGCAATAGAATTAGGCGTTAACCAGTCCTAGAGCCAGCCTAACCAGCTCAATACGTTAGATTGGGGGTTTGACACTGGCCGACCAGCACGCTTCTCAGGGAATACATCAGCGCGTTGCGCATTTTTCTTTTTTTTGCCACATCAGATATCTTCGAACTGTCTGAAACAATCGTATTGCTAGAGATAGCTGGCCTATTTTTGCCATAATTACCAGTAATGGTGTTGTTTGCCGTGTTGATGCCGTTGCGCTCATAGCAGATGCTGTTCGAGAGGAAGATGTTACATATTTTGGATAAGATATGAATTAGAGTCTTCATCCGTATAAGCACCAAAGCCACTAGAGTCGAAGCCATGATTTTCGACAATGTATGTGGATGAACTCTTTGAAAGGGTGTGTATATTGCGCCAAGGTCAGTGTGTGAGGTGGAGGGCATTACTGGAGCCTATATACTTAGGGGCGTCTACTAAAGGTAAGGGATGCTACTGGAAGTTAGATATGCGTATATAGTCTTAGCAAAAGTGATTCATATATCTGTCTAACTAGCATACTTATCCCTTGCGCTATCGTGACTACATTGTGAAGTATGTAGTTCATCTCCTATTTACTTGCTAAGCCTTCTCATTGTTCTCCGCACCAGTAACCATCGATATGTTACTAAACTATTGAGACACGAACCTCCAAATCATTTAAGCCGCCCTTGTGCGGATGTGTATTTGAAACCTCGATATCAGTTAATGGGAAGTCATCTACGGAATTGACAATGGCGGTTTCGCTTGCGGAATCCGGGACACTCTTTCGCTTTGTTGTGCGTCTCAACCCTGATGCAGCGAATGATTTGCCACCACTCCGATTTGCATTGATACCGCTACCGGGTGGGTAGTAGCTAGCTCGACCATGGCTACTTGGGATGAGAGACGGGAGGAATCTTACAATCAAAGGCCTCAAGGTTGGTAAACAGGCGCAAGAAATAGCAGTGTTGAGCTCCACAGAAGACCAGTTTGCGACGCCAACGTTTTCCCATGATGGATCCGTAGTTATGGTGGCGAGATACAGGCTGTGAAGTCGTAGGATTGAGACAATGCATATACTAAAAATATAAAAAATATGAAGTTAGGAAGGGGATTCAAGGAGAATACGTTAGAGGGGAAACCTACAATAATCCAACCATGAAAACCAGATACAGACCTATCTTTTGCCTTGCAGAGAGTTGAAGCCGTTTTATCAAGGGCGCTGGGATTATTACAATCATAATATCAGTTGCAATATTGATTCCAGCATTGGTAAACCAAATCAGCCCATTCGGTAGGCACTTTCCTTTGACGTTCACATCCCAGAATGAGGCGATTGGGATGCAGAAGAATATTGCAGATAAAGTCGCCCAGAGGCCATAAACGATGACTATGACTAGTTGAACATAGCAAATCCGTTTAACATTACGTGTGGTAAAGATCCTCAAGTACTGGAAAAGGACAGAGATTTTGGCGAACGTAAGACTGACGTTGTACAGTGGGATTGTAATATAGACAGCCTTAACAGCGTAAGCAACTTGATCTGAATTCTTTCTGATCATGTACCTTTTCCAACTTCTAATAAGCAATCAACATACCTTTAGAAAGACAGTTAATTGCTGAGGGGGAAGTAGAAAAATATGTTGACCAAGTCCGTTCTCAGCCTCTACCTAACGTCAGCCCAATGAAACTTAGGGTTATACAAGTCAAAACTTACGGATGACCATCCCAGTGGTATTTGCGATGGAGAATATCTTAATAAAGAATCAGTTCAGTCGATCGTTGGAGCAGTTATCTTTATGACTTACTAGAGACACGAAAATGCACCAATCATCATACCCTAGAATATTGAGCATTCGAGTCCGCGTGATGAAGCGTAGGATGACAAAAAGACCTGCTATACTAACACTGGCAATGGCACATGCGGCTACTAGGTCCCCACGAGTAGTGAGGCCAAGAGATCGTTGTGCAACCATATTGTCAATGTCAAAGCTAGATAAATCAATTGTGGAGAAGGATCTACCTTTTAATGATCCTCCAGCACCTTCGTATCTTATAGTACACGTTATTCAGCTGGAAGGATCAATTTCGGCTTGCTCACAAAAATATTAATGGAATGACCGAAGGCGTTAGAATTGTTCAGGAAGGTTAATGGCAACACTATCGATTGGAGGAACCCTGCGTCCAGGGGAAGCGACTGTACTTGGAGGCTACAGTATGTAGCGGCCACCATGCGCCCCTGCGTCCGTACATCTCTGCGTTAGCGAGCATAATTTCTCCGACGAATCGCGCATTGCATTAGGGCTAAATTGGTAAGGACGTCTCCAGAAATTTTAATGCTTTTTCCTGTTCGCATGAACGTGGCTTGCGATACTTCATCAGACTTAATTTAGACGTCATGGTGGAGAGATACTGCTCTCTCGAATGTAGATGGTTATGTTGGCGTAACGCAATGCAGATGGGCGGGGCACAGGCGTAAAACTCGAAAACATGCTTTCACCTCTGTGACCCGGCAACTTGGTCCAGGGGTGCCATGGGTAAACACGACGCATGACTGCTAATGCTGCCAAGAGCTACCTAACCAAGCTACTCTTAGCGGATTGCTTGCCTGTCTTTCAGCGCACGCTTACGTTCGAGTCTGATCGTCCATTTAGCATTAATCCGACCTCTTTTTCTTCTCTTCATGCTACTTAGTATGGTGGAAAACCTGATTGAAAGGATAAGCTGAGCAGCGCTCAGACGAGCCGGTGAAAGCACGGAAAACGGAACATAAAGAAAATGGCCGAAGGCCACTCTGTATGAATAATGAAAAGCATAGTACACTCTTTTGCATCGAGCACCTGTTTCTCTAGATGTGAGTCATGGTGGGTGTATGGGACGGAACACCTGAGGGATGTGAACTGTGCTATGGTGCCGCTCTTCCAGGCAGCTGAGCAGGTAGAATGATTTTGTTTCCTTTTTTCGGGTAAAATCATAGGGGCTTAGATTCACCACCGAGCACTAGAAGGATACGAGAAGGCGCTTAAGCCAGGCTGGAGACGAGCAACTACTGGCTGTAGATATTCGCCTATCCCGCGCCACAAAAAGACGCAAGCATGAGACGTGCCCGAGTTTTGGGTTCGAAGCGGTGAATGCCGTGCAATGCTTTTGTATAATTGCAAATCGCAGTTCTTAGTGGTTGGAGCGCTCTATCGCGTGGCATGCGCTAATGCTCCCAGCCTGACCCGGATACATCTGATGTTCCCCGCAAATGTTATGCCTCCTGGAATATGCCATTGAGGCAGCTTGGCGTGCCATCGCTTGGGGAACCTATTTTTTAGCGCCCGTTGTTTAGGGAGTTGATATTCCGAGAACTGCGTTGTTTTCATAATGCACACCCATAGTCTCAAACTTTATTGTTGTCAGCCACTAACTCTGGGGGAGACGGAAGGCTTGACTTGGTGAAACGAAGGCGTAACAGCAGGGAAGAAGCGAGATGAGCGTAGATCATCGATGCCAAGACGAAAGTTATGTTTTGCAACTTAGTGGCTGATCCTGTTCATGGAGAACGGGCATTTCCAAGCTCGATCATGTAGTGTTTGGCCACCGCACCACAAGGCGTTACTTACGTTTTGATGCCTTGTACTATCAACATGACATGTTCGAAACGAATACCCGTGAGCTTGTTACACAATCCACTATCAGTGCTCTTAGTCTTGGTATTCTTACGAGCCCAACAAAAAAAGTGAGCTACTCTGACTATCATGTATTGCCCTACTATGCTTGTTTTAGTGGTGAGGGTAAAACTGTTAGGTTACTGTCAAAGTAACTAGCAAAGCTCTTTAAAGCTAGACATCCACATATATTGCTATTGTTATGGGCTGAACCCTGGCAGGGAACCGTGTAACGGGCTGGACGCCCTTTTGGATAGCTCCTCGATGGAATCTCGGTTCGAGCTGCGCGCGCACCATCTGAACAACGTTCAGACCGAGCAGCGCTCAGACAGCGCGCTCAGACACTCCGGCATAACCTTTCTCCGACAAGTAAATAAATATAACGTAAGTAAAGTAGATAGCTCCATATTAAATATAACCCCTTATATACCTCGCGATTCCTCCCTAGAGCGTAGCCCCTTACATTTTATATTCAATCCCAATTAGACATAAGCCTAGGCGGACTGTCTTCTAGCTAAGTTTTAGAACGTATTTGTTACACGGGGTTTGGATCTATACCTCTCTATCCTGGTCCGCACTAAGGCAGGTGAGTATTACGCTTGTAACGGCGCAGGCAAGACTACTCGGATCAGTATCGGCAGTAGTGTCACTCAGAGGCATATGGGAGTGCGTGGGACATCAAACGAGCCTTGATTCGAATAGACACCTATAGGCCTGGTACGAAAGGATATCAAAAGTCTACAGAGCTAGCTACAGGGAGTGTCTCCTTATATACTTATCTTAGTCGGATCCGAATCGGATCCGACCTCATAACGAGTGGTTAATAAAGAGGGCGGCGAGTACTACCTCCGATCCGGCTCTAGGATTAGTCCGATACTTAGCGAAGTTGTAACACCGTTACAACGCTAGTGTTTCGTGAGTTTTGTCTAGAGATACAGTGGAGTGGCGTGCTTGGTGGAGGAGTTTGACAAATCCCTAATCTATTCAATAGACTATTACTCTTCTAAGCTGCCTAGGCAAAGTAATAGAACGGATAATAGCTAAAAGACTCAGCTACCTAGCCGAGACTACAAGCCTTCTACACAACTCACAGATAGGAGGCAGATTAAAGAAATCAGCTATCGACGCAGCTCTCCTACTTGTAGATCAAATCCAGCACCAAAAACAACAAGGCTACACTACATCAACAGTCTTTCTAGATGTTAAAGGAGCGTTCGACCACGTTTCCCACAACCAGTTCCTAAATACACTAAAAAGGCTAGGCCTACCTATCAGCCTAATCACCTGGGCTAAAACCTTTCTGTCTAATAGATCCCTAAGGCTCGCCTTTGACGGCCAAATAGAAGACTTTAGCGAGATTAATGCGGGCATTCCACAAGGCAGCCCAGTATCTCCAATCTTCTTTCTGATCTACATTAGAGATCTATTCCACCAAATAGATGGATTTCAGCTCTCCTACATCGACGACATCTCCATCACAACCTCATCAACGTCCATTAAGAAAAACGTTAAGATACTACAACAGGAGGTTAAGAAACTAGTTACTAAGGAAAGAACTAGCTATCGAGTTCGATATAGCGAA